TGATCAAATAATAGCGCATGCATCAAGTGCAATGGGAGGCTCTTCTGGAGAGTGAGAGAAGTTTCCAGATAAGGTGATGTTGAAGCCAGGTTTTGAAAGATGAGGAAGAGTTGTATAAGAATGGGGAGGGAAGGGGGAGGTGGAGGGATGGGGAGTGGGCTGGGGTGGGACGAAGTGGTCCTGGCAGGGAAAGCAGCCTGTAAAGACCTGGACAATTAAGATGGCACTGTTGTTCAGGGAATGGTGAATTAAGTGTGGTAGGAATGCTTTGGAGAGACAGTAATTTTCTGGTATGGAATTCTGCTCTAGAGACCTCATTCCAATTTCTAATACTTTGATGTTGTCATCCGTCACTGTCCCTGTCAAATAGTTTGGAATAGGTGTGATGTTCACGATAACGTAAAGCATAATATTTCATGAATTCTCCCAAAATCACAGGAAGGTTCCACAGTTATCCCCGTTTTATGAATGAAGTGATGAAGACTTAGGGATAATGAGTGCTTTGCCCAAGCTCACATGGATATTAAGACTGAGTCAGATGTAGGGCCTGGTGTGACTTTAATGCTTGCTCTGTTGATGAGCACCACGTGTTGCCTCTCTGTGCAGTTAAGCAGGTAGGTGAAAGAAAAACCTGCTTTTCTCTCTAGTCACACACTTCTGACTGGGTGTGTGTGTGGAGTTTCTACACCAAATTCTCCAGTACTCTGGATATTAACTGAGTATCTCACAATACTGTTCTGACACTACCTGGAGCTGGTACAGACCCTGCAGGTTGGGGGCTCAGTCCCATGAGACTACCCTCACTTCAGATTCCAATGGCAAGTACTAGGTTTTCACCTGCACTTTTGACCAACCTGTTACAAATCAGGGGTTTCCAAGACCCCCTTCTTGGATTTATTTGCTAGAACAGCTTACAGAACTCAGAAAAACAGCTTATTTTCTTTTTTACCTGAGACACAGTGTCTCAGTTTGTTGCCCAGGCTAGTGTGCAGTGGTGCAGTCCTAGCTCACTGCAGCCTCGACTTCCTGGGCTTAAGTTGTCTTCCCACCTCAGCCTTCCTAGTAGCTGAGACTACACACCTGCACCACCATATTTGGCTAATTTCTTTTAATTTTTGTAGAGATGGGGTCTTGTTTTGTTGCCCAGGCTGGCCACAAATTCCTGGACCCATGCGATCTTCCCACCTCAGTCACTTAAATTGCCAGGATTACGGATGTGAGCCTCCACATCTGGTCAGTTCATTTACTATTATTGGCTCATTATAAAGGATACATGTCAGAAACAGCCAATAAAAGATATGTGCATGCTGGATGCAGTGGCTCACGCCTGTGATTCCAGCACTTTAGGAGGTCGAGTTGGGAGGATTGCTTAAACTGAGGAGTTTGAGATCAGCCTGGGCAATATGGTGAAACCCTGTCTCTATAGTGTGGTGATGCATGCCTGTAATCTCAGCTACTCAGGAGGCTTAGGCAGGAGAATCACTTGAACCCAGAATTCGGAGGTTGCAATGAGCTGAGATCATGCTACTGCACTCCAGCCTGGGATACTGAGTGAGACATCATACCCAAAAAAGAAATGAAAATAAATAAATAAATAATAACCAGGTGTGGTGGTGTGCACCTGTAATTCCAGCTAGTAGGAAAGCTCAAGTGAGGATGACTTGATCTGGGGACTGGGGAGGCTTAAGTTGCAGCAAGCTGAGATTGTGCCACTGCACTCTAGCCTGGACGAAAGAGTCAGACCCTGTATCAAAGAAAAGAAGAGAAGAGAAGAGAAGGGAGGGGAGGGGAGGGGAGAAGAAAGAGGAAGGAAGGAAGGAAGGAAGGAGGGAAGGAGGGAAGAAAGGAAGGAAAAAGGAAAGGAGAGGAAGGAAGGAAGGAAGAAAGGAAAGAGGGAAGGAGGGAAGGAAGGAGGGAAGGAAGGAAGGAAGGAAGGAAAAGAAACAAACAAACAGAGAAAAGAAATGAAACAAAAGAAAAGAAAGAAAAGAAGCAAGCCCAGTGGAAGGTAAGTGGGGAGGGGCACAGAGCTTCCATGCCCTCTGTTGAACATGCCACCCTCCCAGCACATCCTGTGTTTAGCCACCCAGAAGCTCTGCAAACCCTGTTGTTCAGGGTATTTATGGAGGCTCTATTACACAAGCATGATTGATAAAATCTTTGGCCTTTGGTGATTAAGTCAGTCTCCAGGCCCTCTTCCCTCCTGGAGTTCAGTGGGTGAGGCTGAAAGTTTCAAACCTCTGCTCATGTGGTTGCTTCCTCTGTCAGTCAGCCCTCCTCCTGAAGAAATCTAGGAGCATGCAGCCACCCAGTCATTTCAGCCACATCCTGAAATGCATTCTTATCATGCTGGAGATCCCAAAGTTCTTAGAGGGTCTTGTATCAGAAAGCTGGGACCAAGATCAAATATTAAAACTAAAGATGCTCCTATCACCTCTATCACTGAGGTCTTTATAAACCTTAGAAGCTCTGTGCCAGGAACCAGGGAAAGAGACCAAATATGTATTTCTTTTCTTTTTTTGAGACAGAATCTCCCTGTGTCATCCAGGCTGGAGCACAGTGATGTGATCATAGCTCACTATAGTTTTGACCTCCTGAGCTCAAGCGATCTTCCCACCTCAGCCTTCCAAGTAGCTGGGACTACACATGCATGTCACCCATACCTGTCACCCATGCTCAGCTCATTTGTGTAGAGATGAGATTTAGTTATGTCTCCCAGACTGATCTCAAACTCCTGGGCTAAAGCCATCATCTCAGCTCAGCCTCTCAAGCAGCTGGAACTACAGGTGCACACCACCATGTCCAGCTAATATTTATTTTTATACTTTTGTAGAGGTGGAGTCTCACCATGTTGTCCAGGCCAGTTTCAAACTCCAGGTCTCAAGCATTCCTCCTACCTTGACCTCCCAAAGTGTTTGGATTATGGGTGGGAGCCACCATGCCAAGCAATCACAAAGATCTTTATAAAAGAAAGAGGGTAGGAGAGTCAGAATTGGAATAGGAGATCTGGTGATGGAAGCAGAGGTTAGAGGGGTAGATTTGAAGATGTTTCAATTATGGCTTTGAAGATGGAGTTAGGGGCCATGATCCAAAGAAAGGGAGTGGCTTCTGGAAGCTGGAAAAGCCAAGGGAAGACTTTAGAGCCTCTAGAAGGAATACAGCCCTGCTGATACCTTTACTTTAGCCTTAATAGATATAGTCTGAGCTTCTGACCCCCAGAACTATAAGATGGTAGATTTGTGGTGTTTTAAGAAACTAAATGTAGAGTAGTTTGTTGCAGCAGCAAGCAGAAATGAACATGAAGCCAGGCATGGTGGCCGATGGTGGTAATCCCAGCACTTTAGGAATCCAGGCAGGAAGATCACTTGAGGCCAGCTCAAGACCAGCCTGGGCAACATAGAAGACCCTGTCTCTACAAAACATAAAACTGGCTGGCACAGTGCCTCACTCCTGTGATCCCGACACTTTGGGAGGTTGAGGAGGGTGGATCACCTGAGGTCAGAAGTTCGAGACCAGCCTGGCCAACATGGCAAAACCCCATCTCTACTAAAAATACAAAAATTAGCTAAGCATGGTGACACACACCTATAATTCCAGCTTCTTGGGAGGCCGAAGCTGGAGAATCACTTGAACCTGGGAGGTGGAAGTTGCAGTGAGCTGAGATTGCACCATTGCACTCCAGCCTGGGCAAGAAGAGTGAAACTCCATTTCAAAATAAAATAATAAGCCAGTCATTATGGCATGCACCTATAGTTCCAGCTACTAGGGAGACTGAGGTGGCAGGATTGCTTGAGCCTGGGAATTCGAGGTTGCAGTGAGCTGTGATTGCATCACTCCACTCCAGCCTTGGTGACAGAGTGAGATCTTGTCTCCAAAAAAAAAAAAAGAAAAAGAAAGAAAGAAAGAAGACATCAACATGGTGGGAATGGGGACAGATGGCAATGTTAAATAGACTGGTCAAGGGTGGCCTCCTAAGTGAAAACTGAGCAAAGACTTGAAGGAGGGGAAGGAGCTGGCCAAGGTGCTGAGGGAAGAGCATTGTAGGCAGAAACAACAGAATATTGTCTTTGATGTATCTGAGGCTCTGGAAGGAGGCCAGTGGAGCAGAAGGAGACAGGGAGAGAATTAGGAGAGGAAGCCAGGGAGTTGCTGGGCGGGCATCAGTACACATCTTGTAAGTCCTGGGAGGTTATTGCTGGGTCTTTGGCTTTTGCTTTGAGATGGGAGCTGCAGGAGGTTTCTGAGCAGAGAGGTGACAAGATTTGTCTCCCGATTTAAAAGCATTCTCTGACTGTCTAGTTAGGAAAGAATGTGGAAAGATTTGGGTAGAAGCATGGGGGCCAAGCTGTGGGATCATCCAGATAGGAGACGATAGTGGTCCTGACCAGGGTCATGGCAGTGATGAGAGATGGTCAGAGGAGAGAAGTAGGGGAGGAGGCCAGGGAGTTGCTGGGTGGGGATCTTCAGTACATGTTGAAGACAGTCAACAGAATTTACTGACAGACTGGATGTGGGGTGTGAGAGAAGGCAGGAGTCAAGGTTTAGTTTGATTCTTATTCAATTATTAAGCATTTTTTTTAAAACACTACTTCCTTTCCCAATCTTACCAAGTATGGGATGCTAGATTGAAGAAATCTCTTCAGGCTCAATGCAGTGGCTCATGCCTGTAGCCCCAGCTATTTGGGAAGCAGAGATGGGAGTATCTTTTAAGGACAGGAGTTCAAGATGAGCCTGGGCAACATAGCAAGACCTCCTCACTACAAAAATAGTTTTCAAAATTTAATAAAATAAAATAAATGTAGCTAGGTATGATGATGTGTACTTGTAATCTCAGCTACACAGGAGGTTGAGGTGGGCATATCTCTTGAGGTCAAGAGTTTGAGACCAGCTTGGGCAACATAGCAAGACTCCTCACTCTATAAAAACTTTAAAAAAAAAATAGCCAGGTATGGAGGCACTCAACTGTAGTACCAGCACTGGGGAGCTGAGGCAGAAAGATGGCATGAGCCCAGGAGGTTGAGGCTGCAGTGAGCTATAAGTGCACAACTGCACTCCAGCCTGGGTGGCAGAGCAGGAGCTTGTCTTACAATGCAAATAGAAATACAAATAAAATAATGAAATCTCAACTCAGAGCCCTTTGGTTCTGCAGCGCTTGTAACTTCAGAGCCTTGCAGTAGGGTTTTTATCATTGGAAATGAGAAGACCCCTGTCAAGTGCTGTTTTCTCACTAATCAGTGTTTTTAAAATGTATTAATCAGGCTGGTCATGGTGGTTTATGCCTGCAATCCCAACCCTTTGGGAGAACAAGGCGGGTGGTTTGCATGAAGTCAGGAGTTCAAGACCAGCTTTGCCAACGTGGCAAAATACCATCTCTACTTAAAAAAAAAATACAAAAATTAACCAGACATGGCAGTGGGTACCTGTAATCCAAGCTACTTCAGAGGCTGAGGCAGGAGAATGGTTTGAACTTGGGGAGCAGAGGGTGCAGTGAGCTGAGATTGCACTGCTTCACTCCAGCCTGAGTGAAAGAGTGAGACTATTTAAAAAAAAAAAGTGTTATATCAACATGTAATGAATGGTTTTATTATTATTATTATTATTTAAGATGGAGTTTCACTCTTGTTACCCAGGCTGGAGTGCAATGGCATGATCTTGGCTTACTACAACCTCCACCTCCCGGGTTTAAGCAATTCTCCTGCCTCAGCCTCCCATGTAGCTGGGATTACAGGTGCCTGCCACCACACCTGGCTAATTTTGTGTTTTTAGTAGAGACAGGATTTCACCATGTTGGAGGGCTAGTCTCGAAATCCTGACCTCATGTGATCTGCCCACCTTGGCCTCTCAGTGAGCTGGGATTATAGGCATGAGCCACCATGCCCAGCCAATTTTATTATTAGTATGTAATGAATAATAAAAATTTTAAAAATTTTGTTTTATATTAGTTATATCAACATGTAATTGTTTTATTATTAATATGTAATGAATAAAAATATTTTTAAATTTTCTATTTTTTAACTTTAATTATTTATATAAAGAAAAAGTCTTAGAGATCTTATATAAAGTTAAAAAATGTAAAGGGATGCTAGACCCCAAAAGATTTAGAACTTCTAGTTTAGAAATATTCAGAGTAAACCACGTACAACTTGCTACTTGATCTATTTTCTTTCTTTCTTTTTTCTTGTAGGAGATGGGATCTCACTCTGTCACCTAGGCTGGAGTACAGTGGTGCGATCACAGCTCACTTCAGGCTTGAACTCCTGGGCTAAGGATCTTCCGGCCTCAGCCTCCTGAGTAGCTGGGACTGTAGGTATACATGATGACACCTGGTTAATTTTTAAATTTTTTCATAGACTATGGGGTCTCACTTTGTTGGTCATGCTGGTGTCAAACTCCTAGCCTCAAGTGACCCTTCCACCTCCACCTCCCATCCTAGAGGTATGATCCACCACAACGAGCACTTGTTCAATTTTCTAAAAAAATAAAAATTTTTAACGTAAAGCTGTGGGATGACGGCAGGAAGATAAAAGTAATAAAAAAAAAAGAAAAGAAAAATCAATTGTAATGATTTATTCCCACATATTCTTTTGACAGCAAGAAAAACTTATAGTAGATACGTTTTTTACAAACAAACAAAAGGCAAATAAACAATGTTGTACAGGAACTTCAACACACACTGTAATATTCCCACTTTTCTGATATCAGTTCTGGAGATTCTTCGTGGATTACTTAACTATCACCATCGGTAGTTTGATCCTCTGATCATAT